AAAAAGTTTAAATTTACCCGGATTTTACGTAAACTTTACAATTTTTTGGTTACATCTATATAATAAATTAGATAGGCATTTGAATTTTTATCCCACACACATTTCCCCCCTAAATCCATCTAATCATCCCTCATATCACTACCCTTACTCCTTTGATTAGCTAGGCATTTGAATTTTTATCCCAGACATATTTTCTCCCCTAAATCCATTCCATCATCCCTCATATCACTGCCCTCACTCCTTTGACAGAAACTAGCACCATGCCACCCACATACCACTTACTTCATCCCTCTTTCCCTATTTTCACTCCTTAAACTCTCTTTCTCTCTTTCTCTCTCCTCTCTCTTTGTTATGCTCATCAGAAAGACACCTCTATAGCCCAACAAGATCACCACCCCCAAGTATCCCTATTATTTTCTTCTCTCTCTCTCTCTCTCTCACACACACACACACATTCTAAACAAACCCCCCCATCCAGCTCTCCCCTTTTTCCTCCTCTATTTCTCTCTTTCTCTCTCTCTCTCTCTCTCACGCACAGACATAACCCACCCCCTTCTTCCCCATCTGCGCAATCCACCCCACAACCACATAGACACTTTGNCGGTTTTTTTCTGACAACTTATTTACGACGGGATCTTGCTACCGTAAATACTATGTAAGACAGACCGTTGTTGCCATAAAAACCTTTTGACACCACACTTATTATGGCGAAGCAATGCCGCCACAAAAAGTATTTGTGACGGCAAATAGACCTTTTATTACAACACTTAACCGCCGTAAGAACTATTTTTTCTTGTAGTGGGTTCACGATAGTGGCGGAGCCATAAATTTTATCTAAGGTGGACACGTTATTCAAAAATTTTAAATTTTTTTTCCCAATTAATAAAAATAAAATAATATATTTAAATTTATGGCATTGTATTTGATACTTAAAAATTCATAAAATACAAAAGTTATCAAACGTCGATAAATATAATATATACAAATTAAAAAAAAAAACTAATTACAACCCTTCACAACATATGAGACTAACTATATAAAAGATGCTATAGTCTTTCTCTATATAACCAATCAAGCTCTTAGTCATTGACCACTCATTAAGTTATTTAACGTAGTTTTCATAATCTCTATAACTTTAAAAATGAGTCTGATGTGTTAAAAATTTATCTAGACCTATCTATAAGGGTGTAAAGTGTGTCCAAAAGTTTATAAATATCTAGTTATATGAATATTCTAATTGATAGAAGAAAAATTAATAGAATGGACACACTTAAATATTCATAAAATAATTNTGTAAAGTGTGTCCAAAAGTTTATAAATATCTAGTTATATGAATATTCTAATTGATAGAAGAAAAATTAATAGAATGGACACACTTAAATATTCATAAAATAATTTAAAATATACATATGTAATATTTTTTTTTAAAAAACGTGAAGGGGGGCCACTACCCCCCCCCCTCGGGCGGAGATCCTCATGTGNGGGAGAAAGCTTCTAGGCACCTCCCTAGCCTCAAAACTCTTGATTTCTCCAAAGTCTCCTTTTGGATCTTTGGTGAAATAATTTGTTCTTG